GCTGACGGAGTTTGAGGGGAAGACTGGAAAAGCGCGGGGTTAAGCACGGGCCATTTGTCGTTCACGTGAATTCGCTGCAGATGCAACCACTCAATTGCTGGCGCGTCCAATGCGCGTCTTCAATTTTTGGCTACGCGTCTGCCGATGGAGTCGTCTTTTCTGGTGCCGCCGTGACATCACCGTAACGACTACACATACCTGACCTGGGAGCATCGCCAACCATATCAATCCACTAATTACGCCACTATGGTCGGCTCTTCGAACCCCCCCGGGAAGAAACAGTCGTCCCTGACTAGTTTCTTCACGCCAAAGACCATCAATGGCTTGTCGCAAAAGCTGGCAACCCAGAAGCCAGCCAAAGACGACTCCCAAGCTCCACCCTCGTCCTCACCATCTGCTCCTGGGCCCTCTCAGATTTCCAGATTCAAGCGGCCTCTTCAAGAGGACAGTGATGCCGGAAATGGAATCGAAAAGACTGCAAGGTCTAGCCGTTTGACCAAACGTGCCAAACGTATCCTTGACGATGATGATGATGAGTCCGAGAACCAGGACGTCCCAAGCTCGCCTCCCGTCAAGTCTACCAAGCCAGCTGCTGGAAATGGGCCGGCTTCGTCCAGAACAGAAAAATATGTCTACGATGCTGGATCCGCCTCTAAGACTGGCGCACCCGACGAAGACGAGACCGAAGATGCAGTAACCAGACGAAAGAAAGAGGAGCTGCACAAGAAGTTTGTCAAGAAGCTTGGTCATCCAGACAGCATGGCATACATGAGGAGACATAACGGTGCCTCGGACGGTGCTACTCCTGGCTTGGAGGGGGATGACGCGGAAGAGGGCGATGATGCCGAAGAGGACGAGCCACCACCGACGACCAAGGGCAAGAAGAAGGGTGCCAAGACTGGCAAACTTACGCCCATGGAAATCCAGTTTCTAGACATCAAGAGGAAACACATGGATACCCTCTTGATCGTCGAAGTTGGTTACAAGTTCAAGTTCTTTGGCGAAGATGCTCGGATAGCTGCCAAAGAGCTGAGCATTGTGTGCATCCCCGGCAAATTCAGATATGATGAGCGTATGTGTGGCTTGATTGTCTTGTACTTTCCCGAACTTTGCGCTAACTTGGATCCAAGATCCGTCCGAAGCTCATCTCGACCGATTTGCCTCTGCCAGCGTACCGGTTCACCGACTAAACGTACACGCCAAACGTCTTGTTGCTGCCGGTCACAAAGTTGGTGTTGTACGACAAATCGAGACCGCAGCCCTCAAGAAAGCTGGCGATAACCGCAACGCACCGTTCGTTCGGAAACTTACCAATGTCTATACCAAGGGCACATACATCGACGAGACAGGGGAGCTGGATCAGCCTGGTGACGCCACTGGTGCTCCATCTGGCGGCTATCTGCTCTGTCTTACTGAGTCGCCGACCAAGGGGTCTGGCACTGATGAGAAAGTGCAAGTCGGAATCATTGCTGTGCAGCCGGCAACCGGAGACATCATCTATGATGACTTTGAAGATGGCTTCATGAGGCGCGAGATCGAGACTCGGTTGCTTCATATCTCGCCTTGCGAATTCCTTATTGTCGGTGACTTGTCCAAGGCCTCGGACAAAATTGTCAAGCATCTTTCTGGGAGCCGTACCAACGTCTTCGGTGATAGAAGTCGTGTTGAACGGGTGCCCAAGTCAAAGACCATGGCTGCCGAGGCTCACTCGCACGTCACCCAGTTTTACGCCGACAAGACCAAGGAAAACGACGAGAATTCGGCGGCTCTTTTGGAGAAAGTTTTGAAACTCCCAGAGTCAGTCACCATTTGTCTGTCTGCAATGATCAACCATCTCACCGAGTATGGTCTGCAACATATTTTCGGCTTGACCAAGTACTTTCAGTCGTTTAGCACCCGACAACACATGTTGGTCAACGGAACAACCCTTGAGAGTCTCGAGGTCTACCGAAACTCGACAGACCACACTGAAAAGGGTAGTCTGATGTGGGCGCTGGACAAAACTCAGACTAGACCCGGGCAGAGACTGCTGAGGAAATGGATTGGCCGCCCGCTGCTTGACCAGCAGCGTCTGCAAGAGCGCGTCACTGCCGTAGAAGAGCTTCTTGAGAATCAATCTACCATCCAGGTCAACAAGTTGACTGGCATGCTGACCTCGATCAAGGCCGATCTGGAGCGCAGCTTGATCCGTATATACTACGGAAAGTGCACCCGGCCAGAGCTTCTCTCAACTCTCCAGACTCTCCAGAAGATCGCTATGGAGTATCACCGAGTCAAGTCTCCAGAAGAGACAGGCTTCAAGTCAAGCCTGATAAGGGAGGCCATGCTCTCTCTGCCAGCCATCGGCGATATTGTGACATCTTACCTTGACAAGATCAACGCCCAAGCTGCCAGAAAAGACGACAAATACAACTTCTTCCGCGAAGATGAGGAAACAGACGACATCACCGACCACAAGCTGGGCATTGCTGCAGTCGAGGCCGATCTTGATGCCCACCGCAAAGAAGCCACGGCCAAACTCAAGAAAAAGGTTCTGGTAGAGTACACCACTGTCTCCGGAATAGAATACCTCATCGAGGTCGCCAACACAGAGCTCAAAAACGTCCCCGCCTCTTGGGCGAAAATCTCTGGCACCAAAAAAGTCTCCCGGTTTCACACCCCAGAGGTGATCAAATTCATTAGCGAGCGCGACCAGCACCGTGAAGCCCTCGCCGCGGCCTGCGATGCCGCCTTTTCGGCTCTTCTCTCGTCTCTAGCAGCGGAATACCAACCCCTCCGCGACGCTGTTTCTTCTCTCGCCACATTGGACTGTCTTTTGTCTCTCTCCCAAGTGGCCTCCCTACCGGGCTACTCCAAACCCAACTTCCTCCCCATCACCGCACCGCCTTCTATTTCCATCGTCGAAGGCCGCCACCCCATAGCAGAACACACCCTTTCGACACCTTACATCCCCTTCACCACCTCTCTCTCCTCCCCCGCCCCGTTGGCCCAACTGATAACAGGCCCCAACATGGGTGGTAAATCCTCCTACGTCCGCTCAGTAGCCTTGTTAGTCCTCCTAGCCCAAATCGGCTCCTATGTCCCCGCCACGGAAATGACCCTCACCCCCTGCGATGCGATCTTCACCCGCATGGGTGCCCATGACAATTTATTCGCGGGCGAATCGACCTTTATGGTTGAGGTCTCTGAGACGGCCTCGATCCTGAGATCAGCCACCCCGAGGAGTCTGGTTATTCTGGATGAGCTAGGCAGGGGGACGTCGACGCACGACGGGGCGGCGATTGCGCATGCGGTGCTGGATTATGTGGTCAAGGAGGTGGGGTGCTTGACGCTGTTCATCACGCATTATCAGAACTTGGCGCGGGTGGCGGAGGGGTTGGGGGATGGGAGGGTTAGGTGCGTTCACATGAAGTTTAGGGTTGACAGGGAGAGGGGGGAGGGGGAGGAGGAGGTGACGTTTTTGTATGAAGTTGCCGAGGGGGTGGCGCATCGGAGTTATGGGTTGAATGTGGGGAGGCTGGCGAGGTTGCCGAAGAGTGTGTTGGAGGTTGCGGGGGTGAAGTCGAGGGAGATGGAGGAGGGGGTGAGGGAGAGGAGGCTGAAGGGGGTGGTGGGGTTGTTGGGGGGGTTGATGAAGGGGGAGAAGGGGGAGGAGGAGTTGGAGATGCTTGTGGAGGGGATTGAACAACTTTAGTTGGGCAGGGGAGTTTGAGATATTGGAGGGTTGGGTTGTCTTGATACTTGACTGCAATGGGGATATATAATAATAAGGGGTCGTGGAGTTTAGGTTGGTTGATTAGGTGGTTGGTTTGGGAAAGTAGATATTCAGTGTGCCACCTAGTACAAGAAATAGAATATTTGACTATTGTAATACTCTGTGCGAGGTGCGGGTTGTGGCCATATCAGGTGCTTGATGGGGCGGTGTGTTAAATCAACCATGTCAAACAATATGACATTCATGACTTCATTTTCTAAGAACATGAAAAGTCCCAAGAAATGATATAAAGTGCAAAAGTGAATGGTAGGTAAAGTGGTGATGTGTTAAGGGGTAAGGAAATACAGTGAAGTTATTTCTCTTTATCCGCTAGAGTTTGTGCACACTCCTCCCTTACCTACCTACCAACATAAAGTACTTAACCAGGGAAGTGATATATGCCAGTATCTCGATGAACTCTACTACACCTTAGGGAGAGCGCGGTCGTCCCGGCCGGGGGGGGGAAGGGGTCCGACCCATTCGGCCGAGTCGAAGCTGAGAGCTCTGGTCTTGTCTGGATGGGGTTTTTGATATTCGCCCACGTGTTGTTGACTTTTTTATTTGTTGTGGCCATGGCTTCTCTCCGCAATGTATACAGCAGCGGTGGTGCTTTATTCTTCTGGCTATTTCCCGACTGGGGAATATCTAAAAGACCTGGTACTAAACATGCTGCGTCTGAGGGCTCTCGGACTTTGGCGGTGGTTAGGTTTCGCTTCTTACTTTGCTGCCTTTATACCGATGGCGGAGGTAGAAGATGTCAAGGAGGTAGGTGAAGAGGCAGGATGGACGTTTTCTGGGCTCCTTCTTCGCAAAGGAAAAATGGAACCTGGCTCGTTCTATCGGGCTGGAACTTTCCGTGGGGTCTCTCACAGACGTCACCTTGAGTTAGTGTTCGGCAAGAAAGGTTGAAATTGTCCGAGTTATCTGATAACTGACTTTGACTACCTCGCTGAGTTTGTCAAGTTCTCCATGATGACTACGGTAATTGTCAGGTCGATACTTTGAATGATTTCTAGTCCTAATTCGAGGCGTTTGATATGATATGCCTACCAATATACATAAAAGCACAGTAGTAAAGAGGAATACTTCTTAGATCCTCTTGGTTATAACCTTCAGGTTCTTGGCTGGGTAAAGAGCTCTGATAACGACGACCAGTTTAATCTAGCTGAGAGGTCAGCAAACAGTAAACCAGAGCCTCTCTAGGCCAGAGATAACCAGACAAATAGGAAGTAAAAAGAAGCAAAATTGATCGCGGCAGGGATCGAACCTGCGATCCTCTGCGATACTGGGATCTATAGATCATTGTAAAGCAGATGCCTTAACCACTGGGCCACGCAACCTATTTGATTGGTGGGCATGCTCCGTTGTTGAGCTTATGATAGGACAAAACCGAAGCGGCCCGCAGTTTGGCAAGCTCTTATCTTATCAGTAAAAGTGGTTGCACCCAAAGCTCAACACCCCGCCAGCTTTGAGATCGGACGGTACCTTGAGAGCTGCAGTGGAGCAAATTGAAGTTATACCAGATCCAGACCAAAACAAAATGAACTCCCTCAGAGTGGCCAATTCGCTCGTCCGCAGCAACGCGACAGTTGCTGTGCTCCGGTACGTCCTTCTCCAAAGCCAATTGACTTTTCCCTCTCGTCCGTGCTATAACTAACACCAAACCCCCAGAACCACCCCCTCGGTCCTCCTCCCCCTAGCTCAAAGACCATGGCACCCCAAACTCTCACAGCAAACCCTCCCTGTGAGAAGGTCCTTCTCCCACTCCCCCAAACTCTCAAAACGTAACCGCAAAGAAGAAGCCGAAGAAGCCGAAGAAGAAGACCCCCGAGGCAAAAAGGGCGGCAAGAAGTCCAACAAGAAAGAGAAGGGCGCCCCCGCCCAGCAGCAGCAAGAACCGCAGTCCTCCTCAGCAAGCGAAGACCCCTTCAACCTCGACCCCCTCATCGCCCTCTTCCAAAAGACCGAGTCCCACTACGCCTCCCAGCTCGCCCTCCTCCGCTCCCCCACCGGCCGCTTCAACGTCGAGTCCATCGGCGCCATCCCCGTCTCCCTCGACAAGAAGTCCAGCGAGACGTACCGCCTCCAGGAGCTCGCCACCGTCGCCCCCCTGGGCGGCCGCCGGTGGTCCATTCTCGCCTTCGAGGAGGCCTCGGTCAAGCCCATCATCTCGGCCGTCCTCAAGTCGCCAGACTTCAACCAGCAGCCCCAGAGGAGCGAGGAGAACCCCCTCGAGCTGACCATGACGGTCGAGCCGGAAAAGGTGGACGATCTGGTCAAGAGGGCAAAGGACCTCTGCACCGAGTGGAGGAACAAGCTGAGGGACGAGACGCACAAGCACGAGACCCACGTCAAGAAGAACAAGTCCTTGTTGAAGGACGACTTGTTCAAGATTAAAGAGGCGTTGAAAAAGCTGCAGGATGAAAGGATGAAGGTTGTGGCGAACAAGGAGAAGGAGGTCGTGGCTGCTATCCAGTCCAAGGCCAAATAGATGATGACAGTCCCAAAAAAGGAAAGATGTAGAGGTTTTTTTGTAAGATAGAGAGTGCTCATGTAAGTCGTTGGATCTCGTATATACCAAGTGGGCGTTTATAATCACAAAAAAAGGCGGTCAATACATAAAGACTTCTTTCAGTCTAAAGTTTATATTCACAGTAATATACCTATTGTTACATTGACAGCCACCCCTTGTTTTTTCTCAAGCTGTCTTTTTTTTTGTCTAAGCCCTCTTCTGAGCGGCCCCCTTCAACTTGGCCGCCTCCTCAGCAGGCAACAAACTCATCACCTTGTCCAAAAACTTCTTCTGATCCTCCTGCCTATAACTCCACGTCTTCCCAGTATAATTCTCAATCAACCCCTCGACATCCCCCAACTCCTTATACCCCGCCTTCTTGTACTTGCCCAACACGGCCAACTCCAACACCGCCTCCCTCGCCTTCTGCGGCGCCCTCCCATTGAACCACTTCTCCCCCTGCGCCAGCCACTCCCTCTCCCCCCTGCTATTGAAGAAAATCGGCTTCCCCTCCTTAAAAACCCTCTTCTTCACCGCCGTGATATCCATCGTCACCCCGCTGTCACTGTTGAACGCCATCCCCCCCCCCATCAACCTCATCGTCTGAATAACACTCTGCACCTTCCCCCACTGCGCAGACGTCGCCAGACCACCCCCATACCCGCTCAGATCCTTCTCCTCCAGCCTCGGCAGGAAAGGAACCACCTCCCCCTTTTCATACCGGTCCACAACCGCCTTCTCCCCGGGGGAAAGGACCATCTTGCCTTCGCTCGCGTCCTTGGGCTTCTCCTTCCTCTCCTTCTTGTCTCCCGTGGCCCGACCTTTACCACCGCCACCACCGGCGGCGAAACCGCCCCCTGGCCTGGCAGGACGCCCGCCGGGCTGTCGGGAGGGAAATCGCCCCCCGGCTCCGGCACCAGAGCGGGAGAAGCCACCCGGGGAAGGGGCGGCACCGCGGCGGAACATATTACCGCCAGTCTGCTGCTGCTGCTGCTGCTGCGAGCGAAACCCGGTGTTGGGTCTCGGCCCGACAGTCCCCGCGCCACCGGCCGAGAACCTCGCAGGGAGACGCAGGGATTTGATGCTGAGGATCTTGCCGCCACCGGGAGCGGCGGCGGTGGGAGAGGCGGATTTTCCAAAGGGGCTGGCGCCGGGGCCGGTGTTGGCGCGGAGGGTGCGGATGTCGAGGGGGCGTTTGATGGCCCCGGAGGAGATCTTGGTCAGCCTTGTCGCGGCGGCGATGCCCCGGGTGGGTTTGTTGTTGTTGTTGCTCTCCTCGGCGAGCTGGGGGGCCGAGGTGGTGAAGCTGCGGAGGGCGGTGGGGGATGTCGTCGAGGTGGTGGGAGGGGGGGCAGAGGCACGCCCGAGGGCGGCGGCCCGGAGGATTTGCTGCCTGGGCATGGTGATGTGTTTGTCGCCTTTGTGAAGGTGGGTTGAAAAACCCTCGATAGGCGACGAGATCGAGGGGTGTTGGGAACTTGGGGTCGGGGGAGTGGAAAAGGTCGGCGACACACCGGCGAGGAGCCCACGGGCAGTGAGGTTCGTTTCGGACGATGGAGTTGAGCAGGAGGAAAATGTTTGGTGGGGTGTGATTGGTCAATCCAGGGAGGAGTGGGTCTGGGGGTTGAGGAGCTTGGTCCACGCGCTTGGCCTGTGCTGACTTACACCATGTTTTCGACTTCCGCACTGGGTCGGTGAGGGACTATAAGGGTTAGGAGTGCAAGAATGACGAGAAGCAAGGCATTTACTTTTTGGTCAACTAACTAGAATCAAGAAAGGCAATGTTGTCTGACTATGAAGAAGTATCTTGTCAGATCAGCAGTGCCGCTACTACCGGGCTCATCCCCCCTAGGTACGGCCTCGCATGGCACAACATGTGCAAAAGCTTGAACAACTCCCTACAGGCATGATGTTCCATGTCTTAATCATTAATAGAGTATTAATATTCAGATACTATGAGCGAGCACGAGTCACTTCTGAGCTTACATGGAAACACCAAGACATATCATTCCCGAGACATCCACTTCCATATCATACCTGAGATGTGATATTTGCAGAGCAAAGTCTCAATTTAATGAACCAAAAAAGCATGCAATGTAAGTGTGAGAGAGCAGAAAGATTTGGCGTTCCGGGTTTGCTAAATCATCGTGTAAATTTTCAAGACGCCAGACATTGAAGTATGCGAAGTGGTGAATGTCAAGCTAGAACAGGGCAACAGTGACTGTGGCTCTCACCAAGGGCCGAGAACACCTGTGCGTGGCTTACCGACTGCCATCTCCTTGCCCATTTATCGCCACAGCTGAGAGAAAAAGATTACATGTGACGTTTCATCAAGAAACCCCATTAAACACCTGACCAAATCGCTTTACTTCCCATGTCGTCTTACAAGCTAATGACTTGCCCGATCCCAGGACAGTGAAGCTCGTCGAAAAGTGGAATAAGACATGATCCTAGCTAGCCTCCTGCTCTTCAGTCTCCCAATATTGTGACAGCTGCAACTGCCGCGCTGTTGATTCGAGGCTCGGAGTGATGGGTGGCGCGATAAGGGATAACGGCACCATACCCTCGCGCCAGACCACGTAAATAGAGTGGTTGCAGCTGATATATGATGCCCAAGGCGTCAAATCGACCGTGGTGCCGGTTCGGCGGCGCATGGTGCCATCGCCCACTTTGCTCGAGTTATCCCGTACATTGGGCGGTTAAGATCGAGTGGCCTCCACAATAGGCGGCTGCCCTCGCTTGCTGGCGGGTCTCGTATCGACAGTGTTTGCTGAGGGGCCTAGAGCTAATCGATACTATGATCCAGTGGACCGTCCATGACCTCGTTACAATCGATGAGCAGTGCAGTCGTTCGAGCTTTCTTCGAAGGCTGGCCGTAATTTGTTGTGCTAAGTTTGAGCCCTCGCCGTACGTGGGAGACATTACATGACAGTAACAACCACTCATATGTGCTCGCTAGAACTCCTCATTTGAGAGTACAGACCGTCGCTTCGAGGGCGGGCCCACGGTAATGCTTCGACAGCATAGATTGTATAGTAGTCGACAGTGGATCTCGCTTCCGATCAGATCCCTCCCTACCCGGGCTTTGAGAAACGGCACTTCCAAGCACTATGGACGAGAAGTGGATATGGCTGCGGTATGGTGGTGGCGGTTGTAAAGAGCCTAAATAGCGTTGATCTTATCAGAATGTCAACATCATGACCAGAGCAGAGGAGTAGCTCTAGAGCGTAAATCGGTGGAATTTTGTGGGGGATCGAAAAATACTTTCGGCCCAGCTCTCCGAGCCATCTTCGTGTTCGATTGAGCCTGAAAAAGCATATATTGCAGAGGCGTGAGAAGATCAACTAGACAATACCGTTAGTTGTGAGTTTCTTTAACGACGAACCATGGCATTTCACTTGCCTGTCTCACCGAGATGGTCAAACACCTAGGGTATGCACGAGGTAGTACTGCAGCTATCTGCATAGGGCTCCGTTAGTGTAGCTGCCATCGTGAGCGAGCAAGCTAGAAGCCCTAATCCTCACGGATAAACATTCCGAGAAGCCCCCTGGCATATACGGGGTCGACTGCTCTTCAAAGGATCACCTCGCTACCGGACGGGATACTTCAGCCTCGGGGTTACTGTAAGTGAACGGCGGTTGGCATGAAACTGTCACCAGCCAGGGGCTCAGTCAACACGCGGGCCAAGATAAACTTGAAAGCAGAAGTCAAGATAGGAAGCTCGAGCTCTCCAAACTCCCCACTTCCCGGTTGTGACGGGACATGGAGCCGCAAACTGTGTGACGGGTAGTCTGGGGCGTAACACCAAACGGAGAAGATCACCAGTTG